AGGGCTGTTGCACATAGGGTCGCTCTGAGTCACAAGTGACTCGACGGCACATAACAACCACCACCCCAAATTCACTCCAACAGTGCCACATACTTGTGTTCACCTGAATGATGGATGGAACTGAGAAGTGAGGATGCCCTTCGCATAACGGAATTAAGTAGCACCCATTGTTCTGTGTCTCTCCAACGACCTAATAAATAACAGGGGTTACTCATCTTGATGCCAAAATTCCCCTGGCAGGTTTCAAAACACATGTCCAGCAATTCTTGCATTGGTCCTGGAAAAAAAATCAAGTGTCGAAAACTTGTTATGTATTTGCACTTTTCACTGATAAGCTGGTAACAATGAGCAATTACTCCAAACACAATAGATTAAAGGTTATGTGACATCCGGTCAGAATCGACTCACAGCTGAACTTCTGGTGGGTTTTCAGACACTGTAAATGGCACAGGAGAAAACCATCCAGCTTTCTCCCACGGAGCATCTGGTGGATTTGAACTACCTGCCTGAGGGCTGGCTGTGCAACTCTTTACACATTAAGCCACCAGAGTCCCCTATGGGACCACTAATTCCTCAACATGGTTACAGGGTAACACGAAGATGACACACAAGAATTATCCACAGAGAGCTCAAAAATATTTTTTTTTTAAAAAAGAATTTAACTTGGGGCATGGGGATGGTGAAAACCAGAAAAAGGTATGTAGATAGAAATGTAGAAAATTAAAAAGTGTAGTTTAATTTCATTGCTTATTGGAAATGCTCAGAGCTTACAGAACCTGACAGGTTTTATCTTAATAAGGCAAACACTGAGGAGGAAATAGTTTAAAAGATATCATCAATCTTTTATTTAACTAAGCACAGCCCTTCATTTTGAAGGAAATGATACAATTTTTCAATCATAACTTCCTCTCAAGAAGAAAAACATTACATTGATTTAACATACAACCTTCAGAAACAACAAAAATAAAGTTTACACAATTCATGGGGAAATAAAATGCAAGTGGTATTTATTCTGCGAGTTAATAAAATTCTCCATAGGTCACAAGTATTAAAGACAAAAACAAAATGACACCATGTGGAGCTGAATAAACCAGTCAAGTTTACAGTTACCCTGATTTTTCTTTTTAGAAATAAAACTGAACTTTCCAAAGGAATCCATCTGATAATGATCACACTAGATTATATTCTAATTCATAAAAAAATAATGGTTAGACAAGCACATAGTACGTCTCTGACACAGTGAATTTCATCATTTAAAAAAAATTAGAAAACAAGTAGTCCTTAAATTTTCTTAGCTCTCCATAGCATATGTCATATAAAATTAAAGTTTTGCTTCCAAAAATATGTTTCCATGTAGTAGCGGTGTGGTTGGGGCCAGGAGACCAACACATGAAAAGGTTATCCACTGAAGTGTCAACTCTTCATAAAAACTAAAAACTTCTTTAAAGCCCAGAGTTAAAGTCTTCTGCTCACAAGGCATTTTAGTGCTACAGCATCATTTCTTTAAATTGAAGGTGGAATAAAACTTAGAAAAAAGTATGAGTTTTCTTGATACAAAAAGTTGTGTAGCTAAAGTCTTGGGCTCCTTAGAAGTACATATACGCAGTCTCAATAAAATATTTGCTCAGGTAAGAAAATAGAATTTGTCTGATCTCACTTAGAATATGTTCCAGTGGGGCTTCCTTCTTATTCAAAATTGCGAGCACAGCTGAACAAGAGAATCATTGTTTCTTTCCTTCAAAGAACATCAGTAATTCACAGTACAAAACATCTCTAAAAGTTATTCCTAAGGAGAAATAAAAAGTATTACATATACCTTTTTTAAAGTGCCAGGGGTCACCATTGCCAGGGCATTCAAAAGTCACTGTTCCACAGCATGCCATCTGGAAGAGGCAGCCACGATTTCCCTTTTCTTCAGTGGATTAGGGGACCACAATCCCAATATTTCTGATGGAGTCACTGATACTGAATGTTATTATGTACATAATAATTATGTACACCTCACCTCACCTCACTGGTACTCTGTGAAAATGCTCCAGGTACATGGGAGAGACGGCTTTGGGACATGTCTCTACTCCTGACCATCCTCCATCTCCCAGCTCGGCTGCCCAAACCCTCCTCTCATGCAACTGAGCTATTCTGCAGGTACAGAGCAGACAATGCTGAGAGCTCTGAGAAGAACAGCTCACCTGTGACAAGTAAGCCACTACTCTATCTCACTGTAAGGAGCCCTGGTGACTCAAAGGCCAAGTGCTTGGCAGCCACCTAAAAGGGTTAGTGGTTTGAATCCACCAGCTGCTCCAGGGGAGAAAGACTTGGCCATCTGCTTCTGTGAAGAATGTAGCCTTGGACAAACACCATGAGGTGGGGGCATTGTGAGTCAAAGCTGACTTAATGGAGACTTACAATAATATACATCAGGGTGACAGACAAGACAGGAAGTCCCAATTTGAAGGGGCAGGGGAGGAGCAGAGAAAAAAAAAAAGAACAAACAACAAAACCAAACAGCTGACTAGCCCAGAGCTTTGGGGCAGCACTGTCCTTCTTAATGCCTGAACACTGTCCATTTATTTGAATTTCACTGCTATGTTAAACAGAAAAGTTGGTCAGGCATGGTAATTAAAAAGTAAAACCAAATCAAATACCCAAGTCAATTACTGTCCAGTCGATTCCAAGCCACGGTGACCCCATCTGTGTTACACAGAACACGTAACTGTTTTCTATGCACTTTCCAGAGGCTGAGTTTTTTTGCAAAAAAAACCCCACAACAGATCACCAGGCCTTTCTTCTGAGGTACCTATAAATTTCCAGCCTTTTCCTTAGCAAATAAGTGCACTCTTCACACCATCCACTTCTAGCTTTAATACCCAAAGTCTCTGCTATTGAATTTGTGGATACCTAGTGACCGTCTAGGAGCAGATCTCTCCTCAAGGGTTTCCAGAGCTATAAATCTCGACAGCAGCAGACCGCCTCAGATCTCTCTCACAGCAGCTGATGGATCTGCCCCGGCAGCAGCCTAGAGCTTAACCCAGTGCCACCAGGGCCTCCTGAGGGGGATTATCGGTTTATCTAAATGTCGTTACCCACATCTATCTTGTCCTTTTCCCCATGAGCCTGAGGAAAGAACCACAAAGCCATGAGATTATTAAACATAAAAACTAGACTGATCAAGGAATCTATGCTTCTCACAAGAGACTTACTTTTCCTCAGAAGTCCCAGAGCAGAACTTGAAAAGGGGCTGAGGTTAAAGTCGATAGAGGCAGGGACCTATTCCGGGATAAATATGCAAACAAGAATATGCATTACTATCAGTAATGAAAAGTCTTCATGGAGGTTCTCCCACCTTCATAAATGTGGAGGATTTTTAGAACTGTAGTCTCAACTTCAGGCTTGAAGACACACAACATACAAATCAAGTCTGCTAGTAATCCTGACTTGGGGAGGTCCAGGAAGGCATATGGACAGATGGCTCTCTGGCTCCGGGATGCCTGTGCAGATTCCATTTCAACTTTAAGAATCAAGTCACATGATGACTTTAAGACGCCATGGTTACGAGTGTTTGAGTTGCTGTCTCAGTAAGAACGGGCAGTACAGCAGCACTCAGGAATCCAGGGCATTAACAGCTCCCCCAAGTCCATGGGACAGCTTAGCCAAGCTCAAGGGCAGCTCAGACAGATGACATATCTCACCCGCACAGATCTGTGCTTTGGGAGTGGACTGTACTGGAAGCACTGACCAGTGACAGAGGTCACTCCTCTCAGGGAGAAAGCATTGGAAAAGGGTGTTCCCTAGCCAATGCCCTAGGGAATGCCCCAGATCAAGAGGACTTTGCATTCTCAATTCAATTCACCAACTGTGGCTACTAGCATCCTCAGAATTTCACCACTGAATACAACCTTCAGCCCCAAATTTCACCTCCAGCAAAAAAAACCCCAAAAACCAACAAAAAACTCAAAGTGAAAATGGGGAGGGCAGTGGAGGGCAGTCCACAGGATCAAAACACAACCTTAAGCTTAAGACTCTGCTTCAACATTCTGGAGAGAGGGTGGGGATTAAGGGATTCCTTCGGGCCCCAGCGGTCCTGCTTGGCTGCCTCTGGCCAGGACACTTTATGAGGTGGCATCAGTCAACCCAGGAACACACCACTCAGGTTTAATGACATCAGTGGCACAAAGGACTAGGCCCTCCTTTGACAACAAATAAAACGCAGCTGTAAATGCCTACAATAGCAGGCAAGAAACAAAGGCGGAAGACCAAACCTTTAATTGACTCAGTCCCCAGGCCGGCCCATGACAATGATTTACTTGTAACCTGGAAAGGGGGAGGGGTGGAATAAGAAACTCAGCTACAGAAACCCAGCGATTTGGAGGGGGAGGGGAGGGAGGTAGCAAAGTCTGTCTGTAGCCCGAGTTTACTTAACTATTTGTTACACTTGACAGAGGGGGCCTGGTCTTGGTCTGCTACTGAGTCTGCCGTTGCTTCCTCAACCTGCACCCCAGGAATCTCATAAATTACCTAAGGTATCCGGATCCCACACATAGCTCCGCAGGCAACCCAGATAAGCCGCCCCTACCAACCCACTCTGGCCTTTGTACTCTGCACCTGGCAGCTGGAGGTGGGAGGCAGAGGCAGGCTGCAGTGGGAGGAACTTTTCTCCATCCTGTCATGGCTAAAGCGGGTCGATTTCAGACCCAGGTGCAGCATAGATTACACGCCAGGTCAAATCCACAGTCCGCACCACAAGCAAAGGCAGGCAGATCAAGGAGTGAAAAGGAAGTGCCCCCAGCCAGAGATGCTCCTACCTGTGCCCCCTGCCCCCCTCCTCCTACCCCATCCAAGGGGGCCAGCTCAAGCCTCAGCTGGCTGCAGAGCTCCCCATTCTCCCCTCTCCCCAGCAGGCGCAGGAGCCCAGCTGGGCGCAGGGAGGTGGAGAAGGGAGCGAGAGGGGGCGAGGAGGCTGCAGACAGCTCCCTTTTGCAGCTCTGGGCGCCCCTGGCCGGTCAGTGAGCCCCCGTGTCCGAGACCGGCGCAGGAGGGCGCTCGGGGGACGGCGGAGTCCGCGCCGCGTCGCCGTCGCCCTCGTCGGGCTCAGCCGGGTGCAGGTGCGTGGCGAGCTCCTGCAGCACCGCCGCGCGCCCGATCTGGTCGTTGCGCCGCTTCTCCATGATCAGGTCCTCCAGGCTCTGGAACTCCAGCGTGTGGCTGCGCTGCGCCGAGAGCTGGATCTGCAGTCGGTAGGGCTGCTTGCCGATGCGCAGCTCGCCGCCGATCTTGAACTCGCGCTTGCCATAGCGGCACCAGGCGGCGAAGCTCTCCGAGTTGCGCCAGCTCAGCTCGCGCTCCTTGGCGCCCACGTGCGCCAGCGCATTGCGCACCACGGCGCCGGGGCTCAGCGGCTTGTAGCGGTACAGCTCGTTGACCACGCGGCCGCGCCGGCCCTGGCTGGCGTCCGTCAGGAAGCTGTTGCTCACCTCCAGCCGGTGTAGGTGCACCACCTGGAAGTTGCCCACGTACACGGCCCAGTGCGGGTACTGGGCCTGCGACACGAACTCCACCAGGTCGCCCGGCTTGCACTTGTTGAGCAGGTTCTCGGGCGTGTAGGTGCTCAGCGCCGCCGAGCCCGGCGCGAAGCTCTTCTGGTAGATGCACTCGTCGCGGTAGAAGACGGAGCACTCCACCTCGTGCAGCCGCGGGTCGTAGGGCTGCGGCGGAGGCAGCGGCTGCCCGTCCCCGCCATCCGGCAAGCCGCTGCCATCCGGGGCCTGGGGCGGCGACTGCGGCTCCACGTCCTCGTCGTCGTTGGAGAATATGTAGGAGACCCCGATGCGCGGCCCGTCGTCCCGGTCCACGCCGGTCGGGTCGGCAGTGGGAACTTCCTTGTAACTTAGGTGGGTCAGTTTCTCCACCTGGTTGCCCATCACGATGCAAACGCCAAGTTCACGCCGCCGAGAAGGGAGAAAGCGAAACCACCGCTAGGGTCATTGGCACCGGTTCTCGGACAGGGGCTGGGCCACCTGTTGGGAGAGGGAGGCAAGGTAGCCATGCAGGAGCCCCTCGGCCTGGCGGGGGGAAGGTGGGGGTGGTGGTTGGCAGTTGGAGCTGGGGCTGGCACCTGGAGCCATTTTAGCGGGAGTCTCGGGGGGACCCAGCCTTCCATTTCTCCACCTGCGGGGTCTCTATCACCAAGCAAGAGACCCGGCAACTTCAGGTCGCTCCCACCTCCAATCCTTCCCCTCGCCGGGGCAAAAGGCCCATGCCACCGGGAGCTCCAGCCACTTCCGCCGGCGCGCCCTACCTGCCCAGCCCAGGCGGACAGGACACTCGAGGAAGGGTAGGCAAAGTTCACTCTGATCCCCCTTTCCCAATTCCCCCGCCCGCCCCCGGGTCCCAGCTAGCCGTTGGCACGCGCCCCGTTCCTTCACTCCCGGGGGAGCGGGCGGGATTCCCGGGCGCGCGGCCCCGCCAGGTGAGCCACCCCACCTGGCTCACCTGCGGAGCTTCCTGCTGCCGCCCAGCCACCCCTCCCCCGCCCGCGGCTCGGGTTACCTGCGCCAACTCACCCGCAGAGGTGTAGGCCCCGGGGAACGAGGACAGGGCCCCCCCCCCGCCGCACCCCGAGACTTCTAGGGCGAGTTTGCCGGTGCGGGAGCCGCGGTCCCTCCTCTCCCGGCGCGGGCGGCAGCGAGGCTGAGCTGGGGGCGGCGACGCATGTCTTCTCCCCGCGGCTGCGTGGCGCCCCAAGACTTGGAAGGTGGGGGGCAAGGTCTACGCGCGCCGCGCCGCCTCCCTCCGTCTGGGCTGCCGCTCCCCCTCTCCAGTTCCCCGGGGAGGTGGGGCGCGAGGAGGCGGAGAAGGCGGGCGCCTGGTAGCCCGGCGGCGGCCGCTCCCCTCGAGCCCGGCGAGCAACAAGCTCCGGAGCGGGAGGGACGGGATTGTAAATCCGGCTCCGGGTTCCCCGGGCGGGAGCGCAGCCCCTGGCATTTAAAGAGACATGCGCTCGCTCCCCGAGCCCGGGTCTTTCCCACTCGGCGCGGAGCCGCCGGGATCCCCGCCCCTGCCCCGCCCACCCAGGTTCGCGAGGCTGCGCCAGGGCACGCCCCCTCCCTGGCCACGCCCACGCCCCAGCCGGTTTAAATCCCGCTGGTAAATAATCGACGTGGGGCCTCCCTGGCGCTGGGGACCCGGCTGGTTTTCTGTCTTTTGTGACCGTCCCGCTCCCTGCTTTCCAAGGGCTGACTATCTTTGGACAGGCCTCCTTGCAAGGTCCGCATCTTCCCGAGCTGTGGCTTTAAGAAATTGAAAGGCAAACGCCACCTGCCAGCCTAAAGCACCTAAAGGGAATATGAGTTTGCTGTTCCTTTTTTCCTCCCCTTTTTCTTTCCCAGAGTACCTGGGAGGAAGTATCCACTGGGGACGTTTCTATCTTCTTTTTTCCTTCCCAGTTTCCTAGAACGTATTTCGTCCCCGGAAAGACACAAAAGACTCTTTTTTTATAGAAACAGTTGGAGGAATGTTTCAGCTTAGAAGTGTTTCCTGAAGCACATGTTAGCGTGGGGTCGTGAAGTTCAGAGAAAGGAGGATGAACCCCTAGAAGACGGCAAAAACTTAATTGCTGGTTGGCTTCCAAGATCAACGCTCCCTTTACTCAATGCCCCTCGAAGTTCGCCAAAGTGGATTTCATAACCTCTGTGGTTTGCACAGTTATCAATTCGTTAGGTAGAAGAGAAAACATGCAGGTCTGGCTGCTTTTCTCAAGGATGGGGTGCAGTGGATTGCCTAACTCCCCTTAAATTAGAAACAAACCAGAGGCCCCTGGTGGATGTGTTTCCTTCCTGTGACTTTAGGAAGGAAATGACAGTCAACTAGGATTGCCTGTTAACCGCTTATGTAAGAAGAGACATTTCCCTCCCCCACTGGTTTCGGTTTTTCCTGAAAGGTAGGCGATCAAAGTGGGCGTTTTCAATAGCAGAGGTTAGGGTACCTGTCTGATTTATAATGTGCAAACTTCGCACTAACTACAGGCACAAAGGAGAGTCCAGGGAGGAACTGAGAATGCAGCCCAAGCCCCTTTAGCCCAGTTTTCCATCACTGTTTCATTTAGGTAGGTTATTCCAGGTAACACTATTATTTATTTACTGTGTTTCCAATTAGTGGAAACAGGAATATGCTACCACCTCTGTGGACCTTTTTACTTGGGTTACTGTGTGTGGAAGCAGTCTGCTTAGGCACTTTTGAGGTTGAGGCAATCAATACTGACAGAGCTTTGATGGAAGTTGGTCCTTCAGCGAGTCCAAGATCACAGCATAAGTTGTACAGAAAAGAGCCTTCTGTCCACAGCGACCAGGAAGATGAAATTAACATAGTTTCTGTCCAATTGTAGGGACCTATGAGTAGATGAGTTCCTCTCTACTGTCCTTGTGATAAAGCATGTTCTGGGGGCTGCTGCTGCTTTAGGAATGTCATCTCATGCACTGTTTTCACACTATTGACGATATCACAGACTGGCAAAAGGATAACAAATCTGACTTGGAAGAAGGACAGCGAGAGTACTCATTCGAAGCATGGACAGTGAGACTTTATCTTACGTACTTCGGGCATATTAATTAGCAGGAAGGCCTAGTCTTTGGAGGACATCCTTCAAAAAGTAAAGGGTGGGTGAAAGAGAGAAGGAAACTCAGATAGATGGATTGGCACAGTCAGTAACTGTAACAATGGGGTTAAGTCAAGATTGTGAGATGGTACAGAACCGGTCAGGATTTTGCTTTGTCTTACACAGGGCCTATTCTTAGTCAGAGTATACTTGACAACATCTGACAACTACCACATGAGCTTCTTAGAATAACTGGAGGTCAAAAGAGCAGCATCTACTCAAGGATAAAACCCAAAAGATGGGAAGAGGTAAGACAGAAGAATCAAAGAAAAGGAGAATTACAGGGAGCAAGTGGGGCCAGTGCAATTGCATTGTTTTTGTTTACTGTCAAGCAGGACCAACCCATAGCTGGCCCTGGTTGTCAGAGGTGGTAAATCACATGGGTGGCCTCACAGTAAGAAGTTGTACTGCAATCCCAGGGACAAGCAGTTCAAACCCACTAGTTGCATGGAAGCTGGGAAGGAGAAGGATGGGTGCATAGATGGGATGTATTGATGAATGACAAAACAGTTGCCTTCAGCACTCTTGGTCTGCTGGGGATGGCACACAACTCTAACATGAATAAAGACAACTCTCATTTAGAGAGCATGTTCAAAGAGAATTACATTTAAGGAGGTTAAGGGATTTCTACCAGCTAGTTAAATGGGAAGATTACAAAGGTCTGTATTCCTTCAAGGCCTAGCTTCTTAACCACTGTGTTTTAAGTAGAAACTCTTGTTATTGTTGTTGTGGACTGTGGAGTTGGAACTAACCCATAGCGGACCCTCTGGTGGGTTTTCAGAGGCAGTTAAAAGAATGGGAGGAGATTACCCATCCTTCTTCACAGAGGGGCTGGATGGCCTCAAACAATGCACCTTTGGGATTGCAGCACAGTTTCTTTCCATTAGGTTGCCAGAACCCACCTGGCTTCAGGGATACAGCTGTGGATACAGCTGACAAGGTCCAGCTCTTCTGGTGCTTGTGGGTTGATGGGATTGGATCAATGGCAGGTAAGTAAATAAGAATGTCTAAGAGTGATAAGAGCCAAAGTGAAATAAATAGGGTCATGTGATTGTGTCACTGGCACTAGGAGTCTCTGGGTGGTGTAAATGATTAGCACATTCAACCCAAAGGTTGGAGGTTCAAGTCCACCTAGAGGTACCTCAGAAAAGAGATGAAGTAATCTGCCTCAATAAGTAAATAAATAAAAAAAATTAGATGCTTAAAACTATTTTCTGCTTAGTTCTACTCTAACACATTTGGAGCTGTCGTAAGTCAGTATCAAACCAATGGTAGCTGGTTTTCTTGAACTTGCACTGTGGAGAAAATGCTGGAGAGCCTACTTTAGATAAGACGGCCAGGGAGGGACTCCCAAGGAAGAAGACTCAGAGCATGAGAAGGGTCCAGCTTTGGCCTTCTTTGATCAGGGCACATCTAGGTTAAAAGCTTGAGAGGGGAAGGAAGCAAGGGTATTTGGAAAAATGGTAAAAAGACAGCTGACTTGAGCACAAGCAGATAAGAGCACAAGACGATGATGAGAGAGGAGATTAGGGTGGTGGGCACACTGAGGGGTTTGAAGGTGGTCAGAATAGTGGCCCTGGGACAAAACGTGCACAGTGAAACAAGAAGAGGCGGCCTGGAGGGATGGGCTATGGGGAGGCCAGGTACTGGAGGCAGAGGGCTAGTGAAAGCATTTTCCTAAGAATGGTGGTGGTGGTAGTGGTGGTGGTGGTGGTGTGTACCATAGTTAGAACTGACCCATAGCTGACCCTCCAGAGGAGTTTTCAGAGGCAGTTAAGTGCTTGGGAAGAGATAGCCCATCCTTCTTCGGCAGAGCAGCTGATAGCCTCGAACCACATGTCTTCGGGGTTGCAGTGCAGCTTCTTGCCAGAACTGTGAGTTGGATTTGAATTCTCCACAATAGTCTTCCTTTCCTGAGCAGTGAGCCAAGTGTCATGTCCTACACACTTCCTAGGAAGAAGCACTAAATAAATACAAGTGCCGAAAACCAGTTAGTCACTCTCACAAGTATTCCTTACAAATAATTGAGAATTGACATTTCTACCCAGCAAGACATCAACACTGACTGGGCAGGTGTGGTAATAAACAGTTCTCACCAAGAATGTACAAAACAGACACGCGAGGACAGACTTCTCTGATTAGGCAATCTGGAACGTGGTCTGTTCTGGGGGCAGGGCACCAGGCTCATGGCAACAGGCAGCTGAGTGAGTGTTGGAAAACAGATTTCTCCAGATCTCCCTTATGCTGGGATCCTCCCAGGTTCACCTG